AGTTTAATTCCTTGGACCTCTTGAGCGCTGCCCGAAATATTTGATAAACCTCAGGCGGGTGAATCTTATTAATATATACTCGTGCATTCCCAAAGMCAAAAATATCCTTTGCCGTATGATCCCTGAGTCTCGATGCATGAGATAGGAAGCGATCACGCACCAGAGGACACAGAAACTGGATGACAATTTCACGAGAGTCTTGATTTGCCTGTTGAGGGATCAAGGAGGTTGCACCAGATGACAGGGGCGCTGACGGCTTTTGTCAGTCACGAACCTCTAGGATATGTGCTGGATGGATTTGAACCTCGAGAAAATTAATTAGTTTATTGATAGCAGCATCGTTCTTGAGAGATCAGAGAGTACAGGAGACATAAGAGAGATGATATCGAGAAAGAGAGAGTTGAGTTCACCAGAGGAGAGGGAGAAGGTGACAAAAAAAAGTACAAGGCAAATGGAAGGTGGGGGGTCAGTAATAGCGGGGTCACAGGAAAAATATGCGAATAAGACGGATAGAGAGTTGATGTTGATTATGATGGATAAAATGACGGAGGTGGAGAGAGAGGGAAAGCAAGAGGTGGCAAAATTGAGGATGGTGATAAGAGAAGAWGAGGTGAGGAAGATTGAAAGGAAGGGAAAGGAGTGGGAGAGAAGAAGTCAAGAGTWAGAAGTAAGACTAGAGGAMAAATTACAGGATTGGAGCAATAAATTACAGGAATRGGAGAACAATACAAAAGAAGGAAACAAGGGGKTTGTGGGAGGCAGTAGTGAGTTAAGAATGGAAGCAGGAAAACAAAYGGAGGTAGAGAAATGGGTAAAAGAGGTAGAAACAAGATGTGAAAAGTGGGAGGCGGAGGMAAGAAAAAGATGTGTAATATTAAGGGGGTTAAAAARAGATAGAAAAGGTTTGGAGAAAGAGATGGAGGTCTTTTTTAAGCGAAAATTGGRCACAGAGGTGAAGGTAGAAGAAGCGAATCTGATAGGGTATGAGAAGAAAATTATAAGAGTGAAACTGAGCAAGAGAGAAGAAAAGGAGAGTATTATGCAAAATAAGAAGAAGTTAGGAGATGAACCGGTATATATTGAGCATGACAGATCAAGGGAGGAGAGAATTGTTCAAAGAGATATAGTGAATCAGGGRAGGGAATTGAGAAAGCAAGGAAGGAAGGTGATAATACGTTATAGAAAATTGGAAATAGACAAAGTGTGGTATAGATAGAGTGATAAAGAAAAGAAGCTAGTGAAGGAGAAACAGAGTTTTTATATGACAGAGGAGAACAGGAACTAGGTGGAAGGGAGAGAAGGAAGAGAAACAAGAAGAGGCAAGAAGGAGGAGGGAAAAACAGAAGGGAAAAAATATAGAGACAAAGGAAGGGAGAAGGGTGAGAATAATGGCATGGAATGTAGCAGGGATAAGGAACAAGGAGAAGGACTTTTAGGAAAATTTGGAGAAATTTGATATATTAGGACTGCAGGAGACGTGGTTAGACAAGAAGGGGTGGGAGAAGACGGAAGATTCATTCCCAAGGAATTACAACTGGATAGTGCAAGAGGCGAGGAAGGATAAAATAAAGGGTAGATACAGGGGTGGAATGATTGCTGGAGTAAGAAAGGACTTAGAGATTGTGAAGGCAGAGGCAGGTAAGGAGGGAATGATACAGCTTGAGATAAGGATGGCGGAAGAAGAAATTTGGCACATAATAATTGTATACAACAGAGAGGGAGAGAAGGAAAAGCTGAGAGAAGTGGAGGAATGCATAGAAAGGAATGAAGGAAAGAGGTTGCTAATAATGGGTGATTTCAACGCAAGGATCTCGGATAAAGGAGGAACATGCTGGATGGGGGAAGAGGAGAAAAGAAAATCAAAGGACAGGGTGATAAACGCACAGGGGTATGAATTGCTGAAGATGGTAGCGGAGTACAGTCTGGGGATACTGAACAGAAGTAAGAAAAATGATGAAAAGGGGGAATGGACTTTTGTAAGCAAAATAGGAAGCAGCGTC